GAACTGTTTTACCCATTTTGCCGTGGGACGAGATCTTTGTCCTACATGAAAATTGCTGATGCATTAGGCAGTGAACGCTGGGAAACTGAAATAGATTCTGAAAAACATTTGCATTCAGTCTGCAATAAGAGGCTGAACTCCTGCTGCAGAAAACATTCACAAAGCATGACACTTTAGTCTCCAACTTTAACTGACTCATTTAGATATATAGGGTTCAGTCTTTCCCTAGTTTGACAGCAAATATGTTTCTTATTGAACACAAATAAACTAAACTTGCCTTCACCAATAAAGTGAACTTTGGACTAGTTTTTTGTCCACACAACATGATCCTTAGCAAAGGTTAAGCTCTGTTCAGATTACACAGTGTTTATTGTCGGTTATGACTGTCACTGTTAGATTATGAGCTAAAATTGTAATGTTTCATGGGCATCAAATATGTCAGACTACACATTGCTTCATGACCCTTTATAACGCACATTCTGTCATCAACAAGCAACACATTCATATATAAAGCTTTATATTACGTCCATTTCATTTGTCCACTTTGAAGCACTGTCCTCTTTCTTTCATTTTGACATTTTAAAAGCTGCGTATTAAAGAGATTCTGTGCTCCCGTTGGTCAACATCACTCATGTAACAGAACCAGCCGTGGGTGACAAGGAAATTATGAAATATTCTAGACTTTCTGGGTTGACTTTGTGAAATGTTGCAGAAATGGTTGTCATGACACACTACACAAGACGAAATGGGTGAATTTTGTGTCCTAATGCTCATTTATCAATCCCCATGACACCTTATTTCAATCAACTTGTGCCAAAATTGGGAAAAAAATGTGAACAGAGATTTAGTCTGGTCTGATGCTTTCTGCTTATCAGAGGTTTGGTCACTGCAGGGTTTTCAGTAAAAACTCTCTTAAACATCAGAATACATCAGAGACAATAGATAGAAATCTTTAGCCTGTTCAGAGCAGAACTGATGATCAATTCCAGTTCCCATGTCCATTATCTCGAAAACCTGCTTAATGTTCTTACCCATTATGATCAGTGCTTTTTTAAATATTACATTTAATTTTGCCAATTACACTTTATTCCCCTTTTTGTATGATGTTAAATAAGTATTTGGTGTCCCCAGAATGTGTATGTTATGATTTACTTAAAAAAAAAAAAAACAAAGTTGTTTGCGGTTATTCAGGTTAAAGATGTTTTGTAACTGTGGCTTTAAAATGCAGTTAGCCTGGTTCTCCTTGCTCTATACTGAAAGTAGAGTGTGGCGTTTGGGCATATCCACTTGAAAGATACTCAGTAGCTGTGTCAGATGTCAGGACAAGCAATGTACAATGACGGACAGATGCTGGTGAAGCAGAGACCCAGTCACAAATACCAAAGCTAACACTGAACTAGTTTCCGATTGGTTATTTGATGTTGTTTATAATTAGTTGATGTAGCCTTTTCTGCAATAATGAATTACCCGTCACAAATCACACACACTTAAGGCTCTATTTTAATGATCTAGGCGCAAAGTCCAAAGCATTAAGGGTGTGTCAGAATCTACTATTGCTATTTTAAGGAAATGTGCTGTGGCACATGGTCTAACAAGATTGAGCTTATTCATTTAATGAGTTATAGGTGTGTTTTGAGAATAAACTAGTCAGAGTCTCATCTCCCATTCCCTTTAAGAGTTAGTTGCGTGGCGCCATCACGCATTTGCTATTCACATGGCAGACTTTGTAAGTGAAAAAACTGATTGCTTCACTAGCGAGAAAACAACTAAACAGAGCATCTGCAGTGCGAGAATGAGCCCCCTCATTCTTTACTTTCACTTTCACTCTCTTTCGTAGATAAGAAAACGTGTTGTATGCACAGGCAGACATTAGCCTACATGAATAATTGTGTTTGTTAAGCGCAAATATTTATTTAAAAACTATTGTTAAATTTAGTTATAAATTCCAGTAAACGAATAAATGAACAGCCATAACGAAGTTATGGTCAAAAAACTGAGTTATATCCAAATACATGTCCTATGCCTCATATGGTTCAAAACCGGTGGACAAATCTAAGCATGTTTTTAATAAAACAAATATAATTATGCATATAATGAATAATACTAGTGATAATAATAACAATATAAAAAAACAAATTGTCATGAACAAACTGAAAAAAAGCCTCCTGATATAAAGGCATGAAGGCAGTGGTTTTTAGATTTATGTAGAAAATAATATGTTTTGTAATAATTTATTCCTTTAATTATTTTTCATTTGTGAAGTTATTTGCGTATTGTTGTACATCCTGTGTGTATTAAGCAATGTTTAAGCGAGGAGCACAACTAACGCACTCAGCGCTGGACTTTAGACCTGCTCTCTACTGGTATTGTGCAGTCTATTTTAGTAATGCACATTAACACATCCCTCATATCTAGACTAGAACACCAATAAGCCCACAATCCTCTGATCTGATTGTATGTTGTTAGCACATTGTTTTTTTTTTTTTTTCGTTTTTTTTTTTCTGTAACCTGGTAACAACCAGTACAATGAAGATACAGCAACATCAAATTGTGATGCTAAAAGAATGATGTCTGTTTCAACATTTTGGAAGCGGACATTTAGGTGGGTACAACAGGGCAAAAAAGTTTACAGGAAAAGCAGACAAGTCTGAAACCGTTTTTTTTTTTTTTTTTTTGTAACAAGCAATTACCAAAATCAAATCCTTGTAGCTCACAATAAAAAGCTGATTAACTATTTAGCTATTTAATTTTACTTTTTTTTTTTTCTTGGTGGGGGGCCAGTGAAAACTATTAAAAATCTAAACCACTGGCCCGATCGCACCAGTAGAAAATATCTTTAGCGTTGAAACCTGTATATGCTGTATGGAAATCCATTATAGCTTCTGCGCTGTACAAAATATTTATTACTTCCACAAATCGGGACTCCTATTATTTGTCTGAAGCATCCTCATTTATAGTCATGTATACTATGCAACAGTGGTGAATCAAGCATTTTTTACCATTCTCTATTTTTTTTAAAAATGTTTAATATCTTATTTTCTTCTTTGTTTTGGGGCAAATGGCAATTAAAGCAAACGCATGACAATGATTTTTTTCAATAAGACAACTGCTAGCTGTAGCCACAATACATGGGTGAAGTTGTATCACAGGTAATTAGAAATGTATCCATTCTCTAATCTAAATTTCTTTGCAAATCCTGTCTTATATTGCCTTGTTCAGGAACTACAAGCTGACTTAGGACATAATACATGCCTGTCAATTAAAAAAGGACTTGATATGTTAATACTACTCTAATATGACTCTGTATACATTATTCCTACACACAATTCTGTCTAAATAACTCTCAAAAGTTGATTTTGCATGATACATGTAGGTGCCCCTTTATATGCATGATATGCACTTTCTGTGTTTCAGAATACATGAAACTCATAAAATATTGACTAAGCAGTGGCCTTAAAACTGAGGAAATTGCAGGCTATTTCCTTTTTTAATTATTATTATTATATCCACCTTAAATATACAATTGTTGAACTGTTGGGAAGCTTGAATTTAAGTATGAGTTGGCTTTGCATTGCTGAAACAGGAGTCACAAACATGACCGGCAAATGAACTGACTGTCATTGGAAGAGACCTTGACAGTGTGCAGTGCTGGTACATGAGCTTATTCAAAACAAATAGGAAGTTTGACTGCAGCAGAATGCTATTAATTCTTGAAATGTGGTGACTTTTACAAATCCACAGAGTATATTAATTTAAGTGTAACTGTTAAAACTGTACACAAAACTAAATGGTAAATATTTCTTAGCACTACACAAAATAGAATCTACTAAAAAGCAACTGTAAAAAAAAGTAGACCACTAGTAAATTCATCTTTTGTCCTAGAAGTTTGATGACTCTCAAGTTGAACTAATAGTGCCTAACCTATAACACATTTTATTTATCTATAATCATCAAACAATTAAATGTCTATAAATACATGTGGATGTACAATGCCTATGTGGAAAATAATGTGTGTTATATTTTGTAAAAGTAAAACAAACGTACAAATTAGTTGCTTATTCTCAGGAGAACTGGCAAGCAACTGCACTGTCAGAAAAAAGGGTACGGTTGGGGTACATTTGTGAACACTTGGGGTACAAATGGTGAAGTTGTACCCTCAATGGTTCAAAGTAGCACCCTAAGATACTTATATGTACCATTTAAGGGTAAAAAAGGTACAAATATGTTCCCAACTGTCAAAGGGTCCATGTTTGGGCCATTTAAGGCCCAAAGAAAGGTACAATCACTTGTGTGAAAAAGGAGCAAGTCAACGTGTATGAAATGGTCCTTAATTTATGTCATGAGTTGTTGGTTATTTGGAAAAAATGCACAAAAAAAAAACTGTACATTATAAATTAAATTATTTAATTATATAAAACATGGCCTTATAAATATTATAAATTAATATTTTTGATTTAAGAAAATGTTAACATAAATCCCCCTAAATGTAAAGTGAAATGGCTAATTATACACAGACCTTTCTTTGATTATCAGATTTAATAAACTACTAGAATGAACATACAACTATAAAGTAGATGAATACAATAGGAATTAAAGGTAACCAGCTTGGTAAACAAAGACAGAGTGCAACCTTGTAGCATTAATAAATAAATTAATAAAACAATTTTAAAAGTAACAGAATAATACTGCCAAAATAATACAGCTGAGAACAAATAATAGATTTAAAAGACCAAAAACTGGCCGTTAGATATACACAAAATGTATTAAATATCGTGTTTTAACTACAAGAGGGAGATTGAATCCAGCGGCAGATGCGAGATTGACTGGCCGAAGTAAAAGCTGCTGTCGGCGGGGGAGAGAATCATAAAGCTCCCGCTGACAGAGTCCGCTTTCACTGAAGCACATTGTCAAAGAAGCACTGTCTTTTTAAATAAACTGCCGATTCGAGTTTAAAACAACTACATTCTCGCCTGAAATACTCTTAAAACTACATTTTGTGAAACATTAGATGATATTTTTTTTAAACTTGCGGGTCTGCACAGCGGGGTATTGTCCATTGACTTTCACTTAGCATTAGCAGCCAGCAAATTTGAATTCGTGTTGTCCAATAGGATTTTTGCCCGCGCCGTGCATTCATAATGCCAGCTGATTACGTGTGACGGTTAATCTCCAGCTGTTGCACTGTTGTTCTGACGCTCTTCTCGGCGTCGATGGAGGATGGACCTGAAGGACGCAAAGAAGCTGGAATACGCTCGTGAAGACGAAGCACAGACATTTGCAGGTAAGTTTAATGTTAAATAACGTATTGTAAATATCCGTTGGGTCATATTCAATTCATATTTGACGTTACTTTGCCTTGTGTACGTAGTTAAGATTAACGTTACCGTCGAGTTACCTGCCGCGTGAGGGGACCCTTTTGTAATTTAAGGTTGACCAGAAATTAAAATATGATTTTTTACATAACCTGGCCATGAGACAGAGCTCGAGACGCTGACAAAACAGCGGTGAAACGTCCAGAGAAACAGTTCAAACACATTTAAGTTAGTTTTGTTTGGATAATGTGGTTAAGTCTTTATTGCATACGTTATTTATAAACTCAGAATTTCCTTAGTGTTGGGAAGCTAACATTCATGCTAACGTTCATGTTTATTTCTTAAAGGAGTGAAGTGAATGCCTTCATGTCTGAAACAATGTAACTTTAACGTTAGTTTATGCATATCTCGACCCACGTCAATTTATAGCAGTTGTATTTTGCAACGTTACATATTTAAATAACGTTATAAATGCATGTCCAAGAGAGTCATAATCATCTGTCGTGTCAGATCGAGGTGCGGGTCATTTATCAAACCTTTGAGTTGCTAATTTAAAGCTTTTTTTTTTTTTTTTTTGCTGTTAACCTCAAGTTCACACCGATCATAATTCTTTTTGTTTCAGAAAATGAAGTGGACGAGGAAGCAGTAGAGTGTAATAACGTAAGTATTTAGTATTTTGTATTTCATCTGTTTGTTAATATATATATATATATATATATATATATATATATATATATATTATTTTTTTTTTATATATATATTTATATATTATGTATGTGTGTGTGTGTATACTTTTTCCCCAGGAATTCATTGTGCAGTCTTAAATTTAATCTCTTTTCTTCTATTCAACTGTTCAACTGTTAGGTGAAGTGTTAAAGTTATATTTGAATTTTTATGATTGTCATTATTTTGCACTTATATTTGATCCAATAGGTGATTGCTGCAATTGGTGAGGATGCATCATCTTTTGAGAGTAATGCGAATGTCCTGCGTATCCAGTGAAATAAGGTGTGTGACCCTTTATTAAAAACACCCTTGTCAGTGAGATCACACATTTTAAATCAGTTCTCAGTTTAAATGAAAAGTTTAATGTCAGTAATATCTAAAGTGTAGGATCAAATGACTATTATAAATGTTATGACTATTGTAAAAAAAATAATTTTTAAGCTTTGTAATGAACATATGTGCATTCAAGCTTACAACTATTTGTACAATGATAATTTAAGGGAAATGGCAACAAAGAATATTAGATAATGTTTTTAGTTAAAGTGAATCACTAATTTCCTTTTTGTTTATTATAGTCATGGTGAACCTGACTGAATGCATTCATCTACCATCTCCAACCAAGTCAGAGCTTCAAGGACAGCTTGTGCTAAAGGTGCCTGAGCTTGATTAAGAAAAAAAGCATCTCCACTGGCCAAAGTCTACAAAAAAGCAAGAGAATAGAAGTTTGCAGATGATCTAACAGGTATTAACATAAAACTTACGTAATAATAATTTTGCTAGATCAAACCTTTATTTCTTGGATGTGATCATTAAGTGCCTTTTCAAGCTGCATTTAGCAAGTTCATACTCATTGGCCTTATATACAAACCCTTTGTATACAGAACATTTTCTTTAAAAAATGTAATTCATAAAAATACATCAATATCTTTTATTCAGCATTTGCTAAACATTCCAATAATTTTTTCTTTATTTTAAAAACAGGTCCTTTATATTATTAAATTATTTAAGAGTACTTCATTATTTGTCTTTATTTTATTTTAGGGTGTCACAGTGGCGCAGTGGGTAGCATGATCGCCTCACATCAAGAAGGTTGCTGGTTTGAGACTCGGCTGGGTCAGTTGGCATTTCTGTGTGGAGTTTGCATGTTGTCCCCATGTTGGTGTGGGTTTCCTCCGGGTGCTCCGGTTTCCTCGACAAGTCCAAAGACATGCAGTACAGATGAATTGGGTGAGCTAATTTGGCCATAGTGTGTGAATAAGTGTGTATGGGTGTTTTCCAGTGATGGGTTGCAGCTAGAAGGACATCCGCTGTGTAAAACGCATGCTGGATATGTTGGCGGTTCATTCCGCTGTGGCGACCCCAGATTAATAAAGGGACTAAGCCGAAAATAAAATAAATGGATGGATGATTTTATTTTGCAATAGATTCAGACTTTCGTGCAGCTCTAATTCTGCTCCCCCATATCTTTAAAGAGAAAGATGATTGCTTACAGTAATTACACTGGAAGAGGTTTGGGTACTGTTGGTTAAACACTTTGTAATACTCTGATAGATGTTATGCAGTTCTGACAGATTTTACATTGTTTATTGATGTCCTTTACTTTTTCTTTTCACAGTGGGATGATAATGATGCTCCATACTCAACTCTACAGATAGCTGAAAGTCCGTTTTAAAGGCATTATTACATCCTTCGCTGTTTACTGTGTTTTCAACTTTGCTTATCCACACTACATAAAGAATGCAAAGGATGAACATCAGCAACTCCCCAAGATGGAACAACAATTTAAATTTGAACATCAGCAACGGTGTGAAGATGGAAATCCAAAATTACAAGAAAAATCAGTGCAGCTGTCCAAGAGCACTGGTATTGCTGGGTCTGCATCAAACAGCAATGCTTGGATCTTTGCATTTACTTTGGTGCATGCGTTTCGAGTCTGTGCATCAGTAATTTAAGACTAGCAGCTATAGACATTTCAATAACATTGCCCAAATCAACTGAGAAGCACAAGATGAAACAATGCTTAGAATTTTCTCCGCCCAACATCCTTGATGAGATTGACACATTCAGGTGTTCAAATTGAACTGTTTTCGTGTGCATGTGAGACCGCTAATGGAGAAGAAATGACACTTTCCTAATGAAATACATTTTAAATGTCAATACTGCACTGGTTTCTGTGTAGCAAGTTTTTAATTCTGCTGTTGTATGATTCATATTTCCATGCAAATACAGTAAGAGTTTGACTTTGAATGGGGTGTTATAAACCAAGACAGACGGACTTTCAGGCTCTTGAAACATACTCTGCTGATAAACTGTTTAAGAATGTTTAGAAATTTCAAATCAAATGTGTAAAACTTTGATCAAAAGTGTTTTTGAGATCTAAAATGATTATGGGTATACTTTAAGTGACATGTTTCAATGTACTGTATGGAAAAAGATTGCTTTGAGATTCTTGATGCTTTTAGAAAATGTAGAATGCAGTGCACTAGCACAAATGTACTTTATTAGGTCTACTGTTGTTTTAGAAAAATTACTTTGTTACATTGGTAAAAATGCTCAGTAAAATGGGATGCACTGATGTTAAAAAAAATAATATTAAGTTTTTTTGCTGTTTCATAAAATGTTTTAAAATGTTTAAGCAGCTATTTCTTAAGTTTATGCATCTGGTATGACTTTGTGATAGTTTAAAACTTTCATCTTCTAAAAAGGTGACAATGTAATTGTTTTGAATCTTTCAATGTGTGTTTGTGATAAAATGTTACATTTTAATGTCTTTTAAAATGATGTAATGTTTAAACATTCATCCTGTAAAAATTTTGATATTTAATATGTTTAATAAATGTGATAAATGAAATTTATTGTGTATGGAGTACAAATCTGAAATGAAAGGGTACAAAATTCATCCCTATGGAGGAGAAATTGTACCTTTTTTAAAGGTACATTATTGTACCATAGCCCAAGTAAGGTACAAATTAGTCAGCAGAGGTACATATTTGACCCATGAAGGTACATACTGCTAGGGTACAAATATGTACCCATGTGAAAGGGTACAACAGGTGTACCCTTGAGGGTACTGCCCCAGTGACAAGCCATTGTACCCCAAAAGGTACAAATTTTGCACATTTTTTCTGACAGTGTGTTTGAAACGTGATGTCTGTTTCTGATACAGAGAAGCTGGTTTGCATATATATAAAATCAGAGTGGATTGTTAGTAATTTTCTTCTGTCTAACATCTTCAATAAATGATATAGTTTGTTCAGAGTGGCACTCTACACTGACAATATTGGGCTCTGTATTGATTACAAAATACTACTCACCCACAAGGTTCTTAATGGTTTACCTCTTCTATACTTAAAGGGATAGTTCACACTAAAATTGTAACCATTTTCTCACTGTGAAGAGATTCTAATGCTTTACAAATTTCAAATGCCTAGAAAGATCAAATAATAAATTGTACTTTCAAAACAACTACCCAAATGATAAATCAAACATTCAAGTAATCAAATAATAAATCAAAATCCATTCTCAAATGTGAAATCAAATGTATTTGATATTTAATTTTCATAATCATCTCAGTAAAATCATGTAATCATTAAATTACATATTGAATGCTTAAACTATAATTCAAATGGAGGAACCAGTTTCTTGTTCTCCCTGGTTACACACACACAACTGGAAGCTCATGATAGACAGATAACTAGGACTATAAAATGTCATTCACACAGACACAATGCTGAGTCTTGTTTTTCCCTGTGAAGCATTACAAAATGCTTTTCTCTGTCCTGCCATGTTTTGATCCTTATCTTGTTTACCGTTATTCGTGTCCTGCACTGTAAGAAATGAAATCCAGCCACAGTAAATATGGCTCATTTAAACAAACAGATTTCACTTAAAAAGTTTAGTTTTGGACATTGCTTAATTTTAAAGTACAAATATTACATAAAATATTGATTTCACTGTAAACTTTATTTAATAAAAAAAAAAACAACTAGCAATTTTTAATAAAGTTAGCAATAATTTGAGGTTTAGTCAATTGAACCCAATATTTTAGGATCATCAGATTACCACATGACGCTGTACCACAGTGTGCAATTTGAGGAGTCCATTTTGGAAAATCAGCTCAGGAGAAGTCTGTTCATCTTTTGGTAAGTTATTGCAAATGTTCGATGATATTCCTTATGACTGCTTATAAATAATGCATGTCTAAATGTTTAGATGGCAATTTACAGTATAACGAATGGACGCTTTTAATAAATGACCATGCTTGACTCAACACAACGGGTTAACCCTGATCCACACAGGAGTGTTTGAAGCCAGGTCTGTCAGCTGATCTATTATATATCTGCTCCTGTTTGTATCTGTTAAGGTGCTTTTTACTGAGATTTAAACGATTATCATTGTGGCCAAACACTGTTGAGCATGTGAACATGGTGGGAAATGCTGGTATCTTCTCATTGTAAAAATTTCAGTACCGCCTGACTTTTGAAAACTTAAAAGTTTTATTGTTTTGTTTTGTTTGTTTGTTTGTGTGTTGTTGTTTTTTTATTAAATTAATAATGAAAGTATATTTATAAGTAAATATAAGAAAAATTTGTTAATTTTCTTTTTTTTAAGATCAAAGAAGAAGTCAAAGGATTGACAGCTGCTGATGTAGAGTCTACCTTCATTGAAAATTTGAACAATTACACAGAACAGCTCATCCATTTATTTCACAAAAAAGGGGGGAAGTGCAGGATGCAAAATCTGTGATGTGATGAAATTGCTGGAGCAGGTATTGTTTACTGAAAATTCTGCTTGCCTGTTTTAGCATTTAAATTTTAGATGTTCATTGTCTCTACCATGTAATGCATTTTAAAATATTACAATTTATTTATATATTTTTTTCTATTTGCACTCACAGTCTGGACATTCTCTGGGAGGTGGTGATATGCTGTCTAACTGTGTACCTGTCTGAGAACCTTGAACATCTGATTACACATTACCTGGTTAGTGAACACAGTTCATTTAGTTCACTTTCAAATGACTTTTGTAGCAGGTTTTAATTGCAAACCTGAAAATGCAATTAAGCATGTAAAATGTCAATTTTGAAAGATAAACTTTTTTCATATTTGAGTAATTTTAGTCATCTTAAATAGAGTTCAACAAAAAATGAAAATTTCCTGTTTTTTAAATCACCCCAGCCAACTTTTTTCTTCTCTAGTAGAACAGTAAAGAAAATTTGGAACTGAAGCACCTGTGGTCTTTGATAAAATGTTAGCAGATGAAATTTAGTCAACAAAGACCACAGTTTTAGTTCATTTTCTTTACTGTTCTACTGAAGAAAAGTTCTGACTTTCAGGTTCTGGTTGTCTGTTTCAGTTTCTTACTTTTTTCCCCCTTTTTTACTTGGCTGAGCCTTTTTATTTTTTTATGAACTGATGCATAATATACATTTTGTTTTATTGTTTTGTTTCAGGACACAAGTGGGGAAACGGACCAGCTGGATATTGGAAAGCACATACCAAAAACTGTGATCATACGCACACATACACTATACAAACAATTTAGCTTACCCAATTTACCTATACCACATTTCTTTGGACTTGTGGGGGAAACCGGAGCACCCAGAGGAAACCCACATCAACACGGGGAGAACATGCAAACTCCACACAGAAACACCAACTGACCCAGCCAGGGCTCGAACCAACAACCTTCTTGCTGTGAGGCGATTGTGCTGGGTGTTTGACAAGCACAGCTTTGAACACTACTTTTAAGAATACTCTTGAAACAGTTTTTGAAGTATTGTTTCTATTAAAGCAGTACATTTGTAAAAGAAATTGCATTTTTTGAACATCTAAAAATGTTTTCAGGAAATGTTTTAAGATGCATTTGTCTAATAAAGAAATTCTTTACTTTAATCCTGTTATCTGTGTTTTTTCCACCCTTTGTAATGTATAGCTAATTGTAAGTTTACTGATAAGTGACTTAGTATTTTAAAGTTGAAGAACTAAATATTTTCAGTTAAATTAGCTTAAGATTTTATAATTGGGTAAACAGATCTTTAATGGTAAAAATAGCTTAAATATGTAAACAAAAACTGCTTAAAATATTAAGTTACACCAACCAATAAATT